AGCCAGATGGCAAGGTGTGAACAGTCACTGGGCTGGAGCCTTGGCTGATGGTTGCCACGGGGATGTTGCCCACGGAGAACTGCTGTCCAACAGGAGCGATGGCAATGGGGGAGATGACGGTGAACTGGGGCTGCTGGATGGGGGTGGAGGGGCTGAGCACGGTGGCCGAGGCTGGTCGCTGCAGACGGGGCCTCTTGGGGGGCTTGGGAGCACTGACAGGCATCAGCACCACGTTCTGGATGGTTTGGGACTTGGCCTTCTGGTCCCTGGCAAGTTTCTTCTGCTCTTCTAGCTGCCGTTCCAGGTCTGCAAAGGGAATGGTTGAACAGTGTGTGGGTTTGGGGGCAGTGGGACGTCCTGGAGGCTTCACAATCAACATCACCCCCAGGTTTGTGACTGGAGGTCACCCAACCACCCAATGAGAGTGATCTTGGCATCTCCCTTGAGATCAAACTGCACTGAAGGACAAGGACAGGTTCTCCTGCCACCCCCACAGCCTGGTCAATGTTCCAGCTTTGGTTGGCTGTCAGTGCCTGGGTAAGGCACAGGTAATGTTTCATACCCACTGGCTACTCCTACTGATGTGGAGATGGGCATTTCTGCTTCCCAAGCTAAACCCACTGACAAGGAAGAGTGGACAAACTCCCCATGGCAGTTGGAATTGCTTCCTGAGCTTGGCTGGGTCAGCTCCCCAGGAGCCAAGCACCTGTACTGGGGACAGGAGCAGGATGCCAGGGTCAATGAAATTTCCCCCTCAACCCTTATTTGGTTGAGCACTGGGAGTCAGAAGTAGCACAGTGACCTCATTTATTCAGGGCAGTAGGGGACTAGGCCATGCCAGATAACAACAGGTCCCACAGGACACAGTGAGGAGGGAGATGCATCCAGTGAATGGCTCTGGGGTTCCAGGTCAGGTCAGTGGCTTCAGCTCAGGAGAAGCTGTGCAGGACACCTGATAGCTTCATGCCAGGACAAGCAGCCAGCTCAGCACCCCATACACAGAGCAGCTTATTACACTGGGCACAGCATGGCACTGCCCACAGCTCAGGTGACCATGGTGCAGTGCTGAGCTCCTATTCCCAATCCTGATGGAATTGGACTCGCACTCCCAGCACCCCAGCAAAGGGCACTTTGGGCTGTCAAATGCTCCAAGCACTTGCTCACTGCCAGGCAAGGGAGAGGGGAAATTCCACTCAAGGCCTAGGATGGAAAGGGATTGGGATGCTCTTGTTTTGGGGCAGCATGTTCTGAACACTAACCCAAACAGGGTTAACTGGGGTTACGTGGAAGGAAAGTCACGTCCGACCCCAAGAGCAGCAGCAGCAGGATGTGAACCCTTATCAGGCACTTTACCTGCCAGTGTGTAAAGGAACTGTTCCTCTCCTTGCTCTGTCTGGTTTTTCCTGTTGTCCAGAACCTTCTTGACTGTGTCCATTAGGCCAAATGTGTGAGCAACATTGTTCAGGACTGCAGCATCTGCAAGGAGAGGGCACGGGGACAAGTGCTTAGTCCCATGTGGGACTCAGCCAAGCACTCAGAGATGCTCCTATTGCACCAAAAACCTTCTGCTGCTTTTTCAAACTCTCTCTGCTCTTTCACAAGGGCTGGCTGACAAGGGCAGAACCAGCTCCCTCATCCCTCTGACATCCCAGGACTAAATAATCCCATTCACATGATAAAGCAAATGAAACAGAGATGTGCCACTCAAGCAGCTCCAAATTGCTGCGAATGAAAGCATAATTTGCAATCACAGAGATACAAACGAGCTCTCCACCTACAAACCATCACCCCATGCTGCTGACAGTGTCATTAACATGCCAAACTCCACTGAAAGCTGTGCAAAATGTCTATTATAATCCACTGACTTCAATCGCTCACAGCTCCCCAAAGCTGCCACCTACCAGACACAAAGACCCACCAGCCCCAAGTTAAACTAGAAAATAAAATGAATAAATAAATATCCTGGAGAAAATGAAGCTTGTGGTTCCATGGATGCTCTCTCAGGAAGAGCATGGACATGAGGTGCTCACAGGGGCATGTGCCAAACCGGATTGGGGAACAGATCCAAGTTTAAAATAACCAAGTTAAAAAGGGGAGGGGAGTTATTTTTAACCCAGATCATTTCCTTCATCTGGTTCAGCCCCAGAAACAGGTTTTCTGGCACAAGTGAAGGCAGAACAAGAAGTGAGGGGGCAGGACCTGCTTAAGCCTGCACTGTCACAGAGAAGTGTTTGAATGACTCCAGTCCCAGCAGTGACTCTGGGTGAGCTTTCACGAGGACTGGGAGCTGTGGACAGTCATCCAATGGTCCCAGCAAGCTGCCAGGGTTGCTTTGCTCAGGGAACAGGGTGGAATGGTGTGTCCTTGTGCCTCAAAGCAAAGGCACTTCACAGTTTGCTGTTGCCCTTTTGAGGCTCCTTCTTCCCAACTTACCTGTCATCTGGAAGGGAGACTGACCCAACCGCTGCTGCACACCTCTTAGGACTTCTTCTATCTCCTTCTGGATGTTGCACACCACCTCTTCCATCAGCCCCACATCAGCTATGCCTTTCCAGAACATCAGTGTGTCCTCTGGCACAAGAAGAGGGAAAAAGAAGTCAACCTGTACAAGCAGTTGGCTTTTTTTCCCCACAAATCCATCTCAAACCTTTCAGGCAAGAGGAATTTTGCAAAGATGACTTCTAGTTTGGCCATTGGGGTGGACCGGACACGTGAAAAAGAAACAAACTACCCCAAAACAAGCAAAAGAGACTCAGGTAGCAAATCAGCAACATGTTCTCAAACAGCTCCATGACCTCCAAGGCAACATATCACATCTTTGCATGATGCAGAGCTTAAAATCTTTGTTTGAGGAAGTTCTGGCTAAGCTTCTGTACTGATCCTAAGAGGGAATGCAAGGGCAGAGAGACAAAGTGCAGAGAGCTGACAAACAGCAAACACAACACTACTCCCTGATGGTTCCAGCCTGGCTCCAGGCTGACGGGTATGTTTTACATCCTTGGAATAAACAAAAACAGGCCCTCATTGTAACTAGCAGCAATTGATTTGGGAAATCATCCATCAGCCATGGGGCCAGGGCTGAAGTCCTGGAGCAGTGAGGAGCTCCATTTAGCAGGAAACCTGGATGCTAGGAAATGCTGGGATAGCCAAGGGGCTGAGGGACAGCTCTGTCATTGCCCAAACTCTCCTTATTTTCAGGATTTTGGTCTCCAAAATGTAACAGATGAGGAGAGGGGAAAAAACCACCAAACATGCAGCCTGAGCTTACCTGAGATCTCATCTGTGTCCTTTTTCATGCCTTCCTCAGTGGCCATGGTGACAGCAGCTGTCAGGGCTGAGTTCCACTCGATGCCCTCCTCCATGCTTTCCTCTGACAGAGCAATCTGGGTGATGCTCCCTGCCAGAGAGCCCACGTCAGCTCCCTCTGAGTGCCAGCCCCGAGTCCCTGCTTTGCTTCCCACCTCCCTCAGCCCTCCCCAAGCTCTCTCAGGTCAGGTTTGTGCTTGGCTTCTTTCAACCAAATGAGCTAAAAACAAATATTGCTGCTTCTCACTGGAACTGTGATTGTGAAAGGCTCTGGGACTTTGGAGGGAGAACCATGTGCCCTCCAAAAGGCAAAGTGGAGTCCTGGCATAAAAGGAGTAGAAAGGGCTCAGAATGAAGAAGGGAACAAATAAGGCTCATCCCAGCTATGTTTCTCCCACTGCATCATCCACAGGGAGCTCTGCACTCCAGAGGTGTCCTAATCCCTCAGGAAATGATGGAGTCACAGTTCAAGCTAGTTGATAGAAGGGAAATGGATCCGACTCAATCCTAAATTTCCGGATCGAATCTGGGACTAAGCCAATGTCACTCACTGTAAGGTTTTACCATGTGGCCATGGTGCTTTCCAGGACAGTCTCCTTAGCCTATGGACAGCTCTTCCATCTCATCCACCCAAGGGCTCAGAGAAATGTAACCCACCCAGATGAATGATGAGGTATGGTGGGGAATAGACTTTTCCCTTAATCTCAGCAGAAATCACTTTCTGCTCTGGAGTTATGGGATCACTGACAATTTGCAGTTGGAATGACACTCAAATCATGTCCAGCCATCCTACTCTGTTCATGGGTGTTCTGGAGAAGGTCAGCATCCCTAAATTCATTCCTGAGCATGAGTCCAACTCGTGCCTTTGTAACAGAGCCCCAAATGGAAAAGACATCGGAAAACGCTGTGTGAGCTCTCAGCTGTTTGCTCAGAGGTGATCCCAGAACAGAGATTACCTTCAAGGCTCTCAATCTCTCTCCTGGCTCCCAAGGCTGCCTCTCTAGAAAGCAGCTGTTTGATGCCAACTGCTTTCCAACCCTCCCAGTGTGGTAGAGCAGAGCTCCCTGACAGATACTGCTGACACCTCTCCGAGCAGACACGAGAAGCACTTTCCTTCCCAAAAACCAGAGCAGCCCCTGCAGAGCACTGAGATTGCCCTGCTGTGCCTGGGGAGAGGGTGTCAAGTGTGTGTGGGAGGGAGAGGAGCATCAGAGGGAAATTCCCATGGCACTGGTAACTGGTTTCCTACCGTCAGCTGAGGTTGGAGTCTGCACCACACTCTGCTGCCCTGGCACGGGCGCTCGGGCACTGCTGATCAGCAGGTCGAACTTGGTGCTCCGACAGGTGTTGGTGCAAACTTTGTCGTGTTGGTAGAAGTCAATCTGGCCTGAATCCATCATCTTCCTGTGCAGGGAGTGGGGAGAGAACCAGGCTCAGCTCAGATCTCAGCCTGGAGATAAAAGGGAGTATTCCACATGGGAATGCTATGGCCATGGGAAGGACAGAGAAAGGGAGACCCAAGGACACTCTGCACACAAAATAGCTCCTGCAAGGTTCTCAAATGGCAAACACGAGCCATCCCCAGCTTCACATGCAGGGATCCAGTCCTGTTCCACCCTCACTGAGTACCAGGTCCCCAGATGAGGCCATTTGTGTCCAGGATGAGGGATCCTGCCCCTCACACCACTGGACCAGGATCCCTGCAGGCTCCTGGCCAGATACTGTGAGCCTCCAAGAGACCTCCTGGGGACTGCAAAGCAGACAAAATGCCTGCTTGGGGTCCTGCAGCTGCAGGGGTGAAGCCCTGAGGCTGGACAGGGTCAGATACCTCAGCATGATTCCTCCAAGGCGAATGGCTCTCTTCCAGTCCTTCAGGGTGGACTTCCCAGCCAGGTGAACAAAGTGCTTTGGGCTGATCAGTTGGTCATTGAACTGACAACGAGACAAGCAAAGGCTCAGCAAACGGGGTAACATCACTTGACAAGCTTGGAACATCCAACACAGCCAGTCCACAGCTTCCCTGAGCCCCCACTTGCACCCAGAGAGAGGAGCTGCTTCTCAGCTCCCTCCCAGCTTTGATCCCCTGGGCACAGCAATCCTGCCAGCTCCAGGGTGGATGTCTGCAGGGATGACCTGCCAGCCATGGGCATTCAAACCACACAGCCCTAGCAAAGAACAGCCCTGAAGGCTTTGTATGAACCAAGTAATCTCCTTTATGACCATGTACAGTCATCCTAAAGATCATTACAGGAGACTCTTACAATAGCCCAGCAACATCCAGCTGACACAGGTATTCCCTCAGGCATCCATTCTGTCCTGCTCCAGTGACTCAGGTAGCTCCTGCTGAGGGGCAGCAGCACACAGAGCTCAGCCTCCGTGTTTTTGCTGTCACACTGCCACACTCTGACTGGGAAAAGGTAACAGCAAGATTTCTCTTCCCAATGCAACCTGCTAACCTAGGCAGGGACAGGAGTGGAGTACCAGGATACTGAGGGCAAAGCTCTGACAGACCTCAGCACACATCCCTTACCTGCCTCCAGTCCCTCCTCAAGGGCCAATACCACTCTGAAATATAAGGTGGGTGACATCCTTCCGTCCCTGACCCACTCTTCCCCTGCTTCTCCCCATGCTTAAAACAACTTTAGCACCAACAATCCACAGGCAAAGCCACTCAGTTCCAGAACAAGGTTAGAATGGAGCACCAAAAGGAAGGAAGTGCTGTGGAGGTCAAACAGCACACCTGGAGAGCAGGGAAGGAATCCACTGGGAGTTTTCCCCTTACCTTCACACACTTGACATTAATTCCTGGACAGACAAACTTCTTCCAGAGCAGGATGGCTTTGCTCTCCCCACAGGTGATGGGATAGGCTATCTCGATTTCCTCGCTGGTTTCAATGGTGCTGGGGTCTGAGGGGGAACAGGCCAGAATGAAATCCCACCCAAGAGGCTCAAATGCCACAAGGCAGGAGCTGGAAGCTCACAGGTTGTGAGACCTGCACTCAGGAGACCTGAAGAAAGGCCAATCCCAGTTCAGGATCAGTCCTCTCTAAGTCTTGTGCACGTACTATAACAGCAACTGGTGTCTGCTTTTTCATACAGCAACGCCCAAAATGAAGCTCATCCATCAGAGAACATGAGATCAGAACTCCAGCACATCTCTAAGGGGGGTGGGTGTCCATGAGAACAATCTTTGTGGCAACCAAATGGTTTAAAACTTGAAGCACAGAGATCTCTTAGATTCTTGGAGCTCTGGTATCTCTTCAGCAGCGTTACCAGATATTTACTGATAATAAACTCTTCTCACACACAGAGTTTCTGCCAATGCTGCCAAAAGACCCACACAGGAAGCTGAATGCTAGTCAAGATCTAGTGGCAGCACCCAGTGACAGGAGCTTTTTCCCACATACTGCTCAGGATGGCACGTGGAACCAACCCACTCAGTTCTTCTGAACATCCAACCCAAACCTACAGGCTGCTCATTCACCAAAGACCCAACAACTAGAGCCTTATGCTTC